AATGGAATTAGAAATTCGAGTAACGAGATGGGTTTGAAAAATTGCATTATCTAAAATTTGTTCATAAATTTCTAATAATTAGGATGAAAGTCAACTTTAAAAAATATTTTGGGAAAATTCAGATAAGTCGAGGGAATTTTTTAAAAACTATATAATTTTAATATTTTTAATTCTTAAATGGATAGTTTGGATATCTAATATCATATATGTTATTTTCTCTTATCTGTTTGAATAAACCAAATAAAATTCAATAGATAATATTTGATCGAATTTGAGATAAGACAAAAAAATCTAGATGGGTACATAGAAATAATAAACAATCACAAAATGTCAAAAATATATGATACAATAAATATAATATAAAACATATATAAAATGATAATCAAATCTCTATGTTGTGCGGATCACAAACTAGAAATTTGAAAATGATAGAAAATTCGAGAGAGATACATGTGATAAATAGAAATCCATATTAAAATTCTCAAGAATATACGATACAATAAATTAATATAAAATATATAAAAATGAATCATATAGCCGCGCGTAGCATGAATCACCAACTAGTATAATACTCCCTCTGTTTCATAAAGAGTGTCATTTTGGCACTATTTTTTGTTACATAAAAAAATGTCACTTTAGATTTTCAATGCAATTTTTCAAATTAATTCTCAATTTTATCCCTACAATTTTAGCTTATTAATTATAGAAAGATAATGACTTAGTGTATAAATAAAAGGTATAACAGACATTTATCAGTTTTTCTTAATTTATGTGAAAAATGTCAGAATGACACTCTTTGTGAAATAGAGGGAGTATATAACTGAAAAAATTGGCCTTAATACCATCAATTCGTTTTTGTTTCCGTAATAGTCAATTATTGTTATCCAGTACAAATGCTAAAAAATCATAATTATTGAGTGATTTATAAATCGATTACATTAATTTAAAATTTAAATCACATCATCTTAAGTTTAGAATGAATAAATTCTAAATTGCTTGCATTAACTTCTAATTTTAATCATATCATCTATTGCTCTATTATTAAGGTTTATATAGGATCTAATAATTATATGGGGATCATATGTATGCCGTAATACTAAGCCCCTTATATGTAACGACCGAGCCAAGCCCATTTGAATAAGTTTAAATGAATTGATTTGGCTACCTATATCACTAAAGTGCACTTATCTTTTCTGTCATTGGTCCTGAGAGAACTCTACAGTTAAGGGTGCTTGAGCTGGAGCTGTACTCGTATGGGTGACTTTCACTTCCTGAAACTATCTGAGTGAGGCTAAAGCGGAGAAATATCATGTCGTGATTGCACCGGCCGTTGGATAGGGGCAGGGCCCATGAGCCTGACGTAGGGATGGGTGACTCGCCGGTAGGGGCGGTCGGGGGCATTACAAGTGGTATTAGAGCTTGGGAAGTTAAACAGGTTCTGTCCTAGGAGACTGTCTTACTGTCGTGATCAGAATTCAGAGACAAATTTTCGTTTAGTGGAGGAGAACAGTAACGACCGGGCCCGGCCCATTTGAATAAGTTTAAATGGATTGATTTGGCTACCTATGTCATTAAAGTGCACTTATCTTTTCCGTCACTGAACCTTAGAGAACTCTACAGTTAAGGGTGATTGAGCTAGAGCAAGACTAGGATGGGTGACCTTAGAAGTGATTCCTGAAACCATGTGAGTGAGGCCAAAACACAGGGAAAGATCATGTGGTGATTGCAGGGTTAGTAAATAAGTCGGTTGGGCTGCGGGAAAAGTAATGCACCATCCGTCGGACAGTGATGGAGCCCACAAGCCCGACTCGGTCGGGGGCATTACAATATATCCTAATTATTGACTGAGTTATAAATATTCTGCATTAGATGATTAATAAAAAAATTAGTAATTGATTAATAATATATTTGACGTTAATACGTCTTTTCCCAACTATGATCATGAAGTTAATATGTTTTTCTCTAACTATTAGTAAACAAAAGATACTAATAATTAGTATTTGAGTGATAACATATTATGTATTCAAATATTTGATATTTTTTTTAGTTCAGTTACAATGTGCGGGATCTCCTTTAATCCGGAGATGTCTGAGTGAGGCAAAAACATGGGAAAAGATCATGTGGTGATTGCAGGGTCAGTAAATAAGTTGGTTGGGCTCTGAAAAAATAATGCATCGGCCATTAGACAGAGGAAGGTCCCATGAGCTGGTTATGTCGCAGGAGACTGTCTTAGGGTTTGGGGAGGGAGGGGGGGGCATTAGGGCTCACACACTGTCATGATCAGAATTCGGAGACAAATTCCCGTTAAGAATTGTAACGACCGGGCCTGGCCCATTTGAATAAGTTTAAATGGATTGATTTGACTATCTATGTCATAAAAGTGCACTTATCTTTTCGGTCACTAGTCCTGAGAGAACTCCCCAGTTAATATGTTTTTCCCTAACTATTAGAAAATAAAAGATACTAATAATTAGTATTTAAGAAATAACATACTATGTATTCAAATATTTGGTATTTTTTAGTTCAGTTACTGACATGAAACCCTACAAATCCTTGTGAAAAATTAAAGTAAAGATCATACGTCTCTGGAAACAATATTCTCCTGCTATTGGTCTCACCGTTGAAATGGTTTTAATCGACACAAATGTTAGTTTAATATCATTATAATATTATGCTTCAAATTGTGATTTTATTACTTTGTCATTGATTTTTTTTTTTTTTCATTTTATCTTATGGATAGGATCACAAAATCCATACTACAGTGAAGAAGGATCATTTAATCAGTTTGACCCATTCCTCTCACAAGGTGGTTCAGGTATTCTCATTAACTTTACTGTCAATCACTCATTAGAATCCTACAGAATAACCAATCACCTTTAAAAAATTACTTTCCTTGCAACAACCCGTATTCATAATTGTAATGACTGCCTAATGAACTCAATGGGTTCGAGCCTAATAACCAGAGAATTCTGGATGGTTCCTTGGATCCAAACTATTTAATTGGTATGTGTTTTTCTTAAACCAATTTTTTGCTTTTAAAATAATTTATAATTACATATTTTGACATTATTTAAATTATCTTACACATATCTTATTGTACAAATTGTTGAAGTCAGCCATGGTTAAATTGTTACTGCGAATGGGAAAGACACACCCAAGCTAAGTGTGGAAATTCGAAATTCAGAGTACATTAAATCTAAATTACATGACTCATATGTTAAGTGCAAATATTATTTTATATGTAGTTAAACTAAATAAATTAATTCTTAATACTTACTCTTTATGTTGTGTTTCAGTGATGATCGTCTTCCTGTTAGGTTATGGAGTCCATTTGCAACAAACGTTGGTGATGCTTTTCAGACATATGGTCAACAATCTTTGATTATTGTACTGAGGTTTGTCAAGATAAAAGTTTGGAAATGTAAAAATAATTTTATAAACAAATTTAAATAATATCTAATTATACTATAATTAATAATTATTGAAATACAGAGGATCGTAGCATTTCCAATGCTTACAATGTGTTGGGGATCTCCTTTAATCCGGAGATGCCTGAGGTTGAATCATTTCTTCAGCTCTAAGTTTATTGAAATTTGCTAAATGACACAATAACAATAATCTAAACACAGATATCACATATTTAATACAAATAGCATATATTTTCACTCTTAAAATTTTAGGCTGCCACGTGATGATCTTGCTTTGGCAATTGTGGATTTTAAACCTCTTACTTTGGTCAATGGTGTATCTGAAAATAATGATTTCTTTATTCACACACCAAGAAAAACCATTGTCGAATTCCAAATTCGACTTTTAACAAGGATGATTTCTTTGTTCGACTTTTATTCCAAATTTTTAATCAACATTATAATTACAATTTTTATTTGTTCTAAAGTTTCTTTTCTTACTGATCCTCACAGGTTGAGAACTGTATTTTGATGTGCACAATTGCAAAAATTGATGCTGATATGGGATGGTGCTATTTGGGTTGCAATGTATGTTCTAAGAAAGTTTTACGTGTGCTGAATGATGATTTCAACCAGGAATATGTGGATGATTCTTTAAGATTTAGTTACTACTGTAACAAATTCAAGACAGACAACCCTAAAATTTTACCAAAGTATGAATCGCTTTACTAAAGGTCCTTAATTAGCAAACAGAAAATGCCCTCGCCCAAAATCAATTTATGACAACAATAAATCATAAAGTTGATCAACTTACTGATGACTACAACAAAAGATTGAGCAACCTACAAAACTCAATAATGGAGAGCCACGGTCGACTCAGAAATCTCTATCAAGAGATGACAGCTATGGCACAACACATGATAGTTAATACGTCTAACTTCAGAAGCAAAGAAGCTGAAACAGCCAGCCTCAAAAACCAGCTAAAAGATCTCCAGAGATGTCTAGAAAGTATGATTCATAACCAGAATCAAGCTGATACATACTTTAATCCTCTTGGAAGTATGCCATCAGGATTTCCTATGTATCAGGGATCCTACTCCCCAGGTTTTCTCTCTGGTTATCAAGAACCTAAGACGAAGACATCTCTCCCAGGATTCTTATCATCCGACGAAGCTTTCACATCTCGATATGGCACACCATCGGCTAGTAATTTCAAAACAAAGCCGACTCGTGCGAAACCAAGAAGACAAAAAGAATCAGAATTCCTAGCCAATCCAACAAAGAGACCAACTCTAACCTCCTCCTCAAGTCACAAATCTATTGATGATTCAAAGAAGAAAGAGAAGGATATTGGGATAATCGAATTTTCGATGTCTAACCTACTCGATACTATCGGCCAAACTTCTAGAGAAACGACGCCTCGAAGACAGGACCAAACACCTCGAATCAGCTCAACGCAACCAATCGAGATGATCAACCATTTTTCTGACACGAGTTCTGATAGCTATGAGGATAGTTCAGATGAGGAGTAAATCCCAAAGCAATTTGCCATCGGAGAAGGTTCAACCGCTCCAAAAAGGGAACCAAACATTAATGAGGTCGATTCGAGTGATGAGGAGATGAGTTACACACGCCCCAGAAATCAAGAGCTTCCACCAAAGCAGTTCACTTCAAAAGTCATGATATTCACGTTCGATGACATTCCCTTCGAAAAATGGAATGATCGACTCGACGAATTTCATACATGGATGACTTCAAAAGCCATCACATCACCCCTAGAGCTTGTCATTCAGCTATTTACGGCACGAATATTTGGAGCTCTCAATTAATGGTGGAATTCACTGGGCGAATACCGACAACAGCAAGTCTATCAGACGACTATTCCATTACTTTTGAAAGAAATTCACAGAGAATTCATCGGTACGCCTACTCATCTCAAAGAACAACTACAAGAAGAGTTTTTCTTGGCAAAGTGTTGTTCGCTCAAGAAGAAGGATTTGGCTAAACACTTTGAACGCCAAACACGAAGATATTATGCACTCAATGGTCTCAATAACCCAAGCTTGAAGTAAGTCTACCTTTCCTCCATAGATGATTACCTGAGTCAACATACCAAGCTGTATATCAGAGACCAAAGACAAACAATCGAAGAAATATCCATTGGTCAAATCCAGCAATACGTCTTCCGAACACTCGACAAGCTTTGCAAGCAAAAAAAGTTCTAGATGGAATTGATGGACAAATTAAAGTAACTGCCCAAAATATGTGCCAGACCAGACCTATCAATCAAGTGTTCTAAATCCAAGGAGACTTGTTCATGCGAACCTCGAGGCAAATCTCGAAGATTTAGAAAACCGTTCCAAGGACGATTTAATAGGTTCAGGCGTAAGCATTTTTTCAGAAAGAAACGAAGCTTCGAGAAGACAACGAGATGCTTTCTATTCTGTAAGGAAGGACATTTCGCAAAAAAATGTCCAAATAAGTCAAAGAAGAAGAAGCAATATCTCATTAACTCGATATCCAGTATTGCACCAGATATCGACCTCGACAATCATGACCTAGAGTCTGTTCTATCATACGATAGTGACGATAATGATGTTATATGTGGATACTCAGATTCCGATGTTTCATCTGAATCATCATCCGAAGAAGAAAAAGATTGTTGCTTTAAAATCACTGAAATTCTACGGCAGGATGAGGTTCAACCGCCACACTTGCCTGTCACGATCTTTGACCCATGGAGAAAAGAAGAACCAGTTCATGCTATCGCATTGATAGACACGGGCGCTCATTCATCTATAGTTCTTCTGTCTTCTATGTGGCTGCCACACCAACAAGAGTTCCGAGTCGCAAACGCTGGCTCGCTATCTGTTAAGCTCAAGTCCAAAGCAATAACCATAGAAATCTTCCCAGGATGTCAAGTTACAACAGAAGTTCTAGGATGCGCTGGGAAAAGATCTAATCATGGGATGGGATACATATTATGCATTAAAGAAAAGGTTCGATATTTTGCTCGAACCACAAGGAATGAAGTGGAAGTCTTTCTACAAAGCCTTCACTACATTACCTCGCATATTTTCACTTGAAGAAGCAGCGCCTCCCGAGTTCAACAAGATCAAAGAAGAAATCACGATAATCTCATGTGCAGATTCACATATGGATTTCCTTCAGAAGTGCAACAATCCACTATGGCTAATTCGGAGTTCTTTGTGTCATTACCTTTCGAAGAAGATGTCCATACTACTCCAACAAAGGCGAGTCATACATGAATGCCACCTACCTTATTGCAACAGGTGAACAAAGAATGTGACTAACTGGTCAATCAAGAATCGTCTCAGCAAAAAATTCACCATGGGCGTGCAAAGCATTTTGCGTCAACAACAGAGCAGAACAAGCAAGAGGGAAACTTAGGCTAGTTATCGATTACAAGCCTTTGAACCAATATCTTCAAGATATCAAGTGCCCTCTGCCAAACAAGAAGACCCTTCTACAACATCTACAAGGAGCAACAATATTTTTGAAGTTCGACCTCAAATCAGGGTTTTGGCAACTTGGAGTTCATCCAAAAGAGAGGTACAAGACAGTATTATGTCTGCCAAATCGCCATCTTCAGTGGAGTGTTCTGCTTTTTGGATTAAAGACAGAACCCTCACTATTCCAGCAGGCGATGTTGAAGATATTCAAGCCACTAATCGACACAGCTCTAATTTACATCGACAACATTATCATATTTTTGTCAAGTACAACATAGCATATTCAGACTCTCAGAAAGCTTCAAAGCGTTGTCAAGGAATCAGAATTATGCTCTCGGCCCGAAAGATGATTATAGCCCAGCCCAACATCGACTTTCTTGGAATGAAGATTAACAACGGACAGATCACGCCTCAGTCTCATCTAGCTACAGCTCTTCTTGATTTTCCAGACGAAAAACTCACAAGGTGACAAGTTCAGCAATGCATTGGGGTAATCAATTACATAAGCGACTTTATCCTGCAACTTTCACAGTTGACAAGACCACTCCAAAAGATGCTGATGAAGAATCCACCACAGTAGGCTAAACAACAAATAGAAGCAGTCAAAAGGCTAAAGATAGAGATACATAAGCCACCACCTCTAAAGATTCCCTCCTCGGGGAAACGTCTTCTACAGACTGATGCGAGTGAAAACTATTGGGGAGCTATACTGTTTGAAGAGATAAATGGGGAACATTAAATCTGTGGATATAAAAGCGGACGCTTTAAAGATGCAGCGATGCATTATCACTCCACGTTCAAAGAAATCTTAGCAGTCAAAAAGGCTATCGAGAAGTTCGAGTAACATCTGATTGGACATAAATTTCGCATCGAAATGGATATGTCTTCTTTTCCAAAGATGCTACAATTCAAACAAAAAATGGTCCCACACCAGCAGCTATTACGATGGAGCGTATGGTTTTTAAAATATGACTTCAAATCCTTCTATTTAAAGGGCAAGAAAAATACGCTTGCCGACATGCTCAGCAGAAACCCACCAAAGGAGATTCATCTTATGGCGAGTTCATCTACATCATTAATGAGTTACTACGACTTCGAAGCCAACATGTCCAAAGACGCTCATTAGCTAATCAGAAGAAACTCTCTACACGAACATCTTCAACATAAGATCTTCTACTATCAGTCAATCATCCTCTCAAAGCACGGTATCAACTGTCACTACATCGCACCAATGGGGATTCACTCGGGCTATCCGTTCGCTCACCTCTATCGAATCGAAAATTCGAACATGCCTGAAGAAGTTCTGTGTTTCCTATGGTATCTATGCTCGGTCTACACCATTGGCATCACGTTCGACATAGGTTGGTTATATCAATACATTAATACCCAGCAAGGTCAGAAGGATTGTCTCTCAACTTTCCTAACGTGGTTTGCATCTTTCAACATTTGGAATGGAAAACAAAGAAGATCAGCAAAAGCAACAAGCTTGCCATTCAAGCAACTAAGAGGTCAAAAAAGCCTCAATCCGTTCTTTAACCCTCATACTATATACTTCTTCCACTGACCTGTTCAAACCAACATCAAATCCAACAAATTTCGTGCTATACCCACTCTCATTCACCACAACGACTACAAAAGAGCAATCCTCCCAGACTTCAATATCCATGACAACAAACCTTACGAAGACTTTCAAACGCATACATTTCGGCTCAACAATGCCAGGCAGACTTTCCCCATTCAACCCAAGCTGGATCTACTATTCTGCTGACTACCAGATGAGCCTCGACGAAGATTTACAATATTTCATGATGAAACATGAAAGCATGACGGACACTACGAAGGTCAAGAGGCAGATCATTCCGGAGATAGTAAAACAAGAAGAAACGTCTCAACAATACCTGACGAAATATTTCCAAGATGCACAACTCCCTGACGATTCCATGAATATTGACGAAATAGGGAAAATGTTCAACATCGACGTCAACACGGAGCCCGAAGAAAACTTCGAAGAACCAGAAGAAGAATACGAATGTCCAGGAGATCACTACGGTTGTTGCGACAAACATATCATCGAGTTCGAGATGGATCACTAAATGAAGTGTCTCTAAATACTTCATTATGTAAGATTATAAGTGTGTTTAAAAGAAATAAGTAGTGATGTAAGCGATGATGTCATCGTATATGTAATGATGTAAGCGCTTATGTCAACGCATCAATAATGTTGGAATGAGGTAAGCGCTTATGTCAGCGCGCACCATTCCTCCCCTGTAAATATGTGTGCACCCCATTGTAAAAATCATCTCAGAATTTCTATAAAAACCTCTCTCTAGTTTCTCTCTCTAAATGAGTCTCTAAAATCTTTTGGGTTTCCAGACTTTCTAACATCATCATAAGCCTTGGCTACTTTTCTATCATCAGAAAGATGCCAATCTGCTCCAGATCGATGCTTGAGCTTTCTGGTTAATCAACACAACTCTAGTCAATACGAATTTTGGAGGGGGGTAATATTTCTAACGGTGATTGAGTAAGTAAGAGGCCGAAGTGCTCAGTAAAGCTTCCTTACTTAGAAATTACCTCTCCTATCTGTCAACACGGCTTTAGTCAATACAATACCAGAGGTTCCTGCATAGAAACACCGTTAGAAATATTACCCCCTCCGAAAGTCACTCACACCAAGTTGATGCTCTTTGATAATCATGCTGTTCTATTAATTCGTCAACCTTGCCTTCAAATTACTGGTCTATTAGGAATGAGGTAATATTCACTAATACATGTACGACTATTTTATTGTATTACTTTGTATTATAATACTGTAATTTTCATTTCTTAATAGATTGAAGTATCAGACGTGCTACCTCTTGCTCTCACTAACTTAGTGGGCAAGACATATCTTTTTAAACTTTGTTTACAAGCATGATACTTACAAAATCTTGAAAATCATCACAAATGAGGAGTTGATTAATAAATTTATTGTGAGAGACTCCCTCATGTATATTTATATGCTGATAGTTAGCAATGGCTGTGTAATAAAAATGGAGAAATCGCTCTAATATATAACATCCTAAAGGAAGGTGATTGGTTTAAGATAACTATTTTTAAAATAATTCACGCTTTCGACATAATAAAAACGATAAGGAACAAATACTATATCATTTTTCAAAAAGGCTACAACAATTTCCAAGATTAAACCACTGTCAGATTGTAACTTCTTTTGTTTTGCCAACTATCGGAACATACTACGCGGGCTTTCTCACCCAATGTTTACTATTGGTATGTTCTTTATATTCCTAAATTTTGTTGATTCTCTTGAATTTGTTAAAAACTGAAGATTCTGTTGTTATATTATCTAACTTATGTTTCTCAATTACTTACAGGCTAAATGAAATCAAATGTGTTGGTTATGAAAATCTTGCCGATGAATTAAATAAGTTTTGATGGTTTACCGACACTAATATAGTAATGTGTGTTTTAAAGTTATGGAGAATTAAATGAAAACTAAGTAATTTTTAATCAAAATAGAATAGATATTTATTTTAATTTTCTCTATTCTTTTTACAAACATTACATAATAAATGTTATCTTTATTATTTAGGTGGTTTTACAGATATTTCTAATATATCAGGATGCTCTCAAATTTTATTTGATCCTCAAATTCCAGAAATACAATCACTCAGATTCATATAAGTATTTATAATTACATTTTTTTTTAATTATTTGTATATATTACATATTACTGATACATATTTTATAAATGAACAGAAACACTCTTTAATGGTATTTACACAGTTTTAAATATCGATGTTTTGATATTATTAATATTATTTTTTTTTATTTTCCGACTATAGTTAGTTTTTAGTTATTTTGGCTGACATGATGTAGGTGTTTTCTTCCACAATATAAGTTATATATATATATATGTATATATATATATATATATTGTTTTTTTTATATATTCAAATCCATATTTAAACTAATTAGAGTAAAGCAGTGTACAATATAAAAAAGTATACTAGTATACTAGTATACATAAAAAACACTATTATATAATTAATATTTTACTATAATATTATATAAAACCAACATTAAAACTGAATATATTATATTATATAATATGGTTAAATATAATATTAATTAAATAAAAATATTTTATTATGCACAAAGCGCAAATTATTTACCTATTAATTTATTAATTTAAGAAATTCTTTTAACAAAAAAAAGTTAACTTTGCATCATTGTATTTCTCAAAGTAGACTAACAAAATATAATTTTTATCATTGTACTCGACAAGCACGGTAACATTATCACTACTACCAGCGTGATCCCATCACCCACAGGAACAACATCAGCGTCTACAGTAATCCAGGCCGCCCTACAACCACTCACTCAAGATTTGGATTCCAAGTTTAATGGCCTACAACCTCATCAAGAGAAGTACAACGACAACTCAACAGTTTGGTAGCTGTGGCCGCCGCGTGATCAGCACCACTCGGACAAAGGCCCTTTGCTACACCCACCACATATGCCATAAATAGGCAGGTGAGAAACGACGAGGAAAACGGAGCCGACGACACGCTTCTGGACGAAGTAAAGTCCGAGGTCACAAAACTGCATCAATTGAGATGGAATTTTAGTTATCTTAGGGGCCGAGCTAGTGAAGTGGTGGATTTGGGAGCCAATAGAGTCAACGGAGAGAAGTCCCTTCGCCCAAGTAATCACGGATGTTCACCTCAGCACTGTGATAAAACTTAAGTTGTCCTACTACAACGGCACAGATGATCTCGAAATATGGCTCACCAGATTCAACATCGCCATGAAATGACAGCGCTTCGAATAACCAGCCGAGCATGAAGCTAATTACTCCCAAACCCTCATCGAACACCTCAGCAATGACACATTTAAGTGGTTCTCAAATCTTGAGCCCATATCCATCAAAATATTTAAAGACCTGTCAACAGCTTTCATGAAGTAGTACTCAATGTTAATTACAAAGTAAACTGCCAACCTCTTCATGTTGACCCAAGAGCGATATCAACTGCTTCGCGTCTATATCGTGAGATATAGGCACTTATCAACGGCCTCTGGTATGAATCCACAACTTATGGTCAGATACAACATTATATAGCGTTGGAGGCACTTATCAACGGTCTCTGGTATGACTCCATCTTCATGGAAGAGCTACATCTCTACCCATGAGAGACCCTCGAAGACGCACTCGATCGAGCTCAAACGTTCATCCAGATCAAAGAGGAGAAGTCTTTCTACACCAAGAAGTATGTCATAGAAGAAACCCTAGGTTTAAAAGGCAAGGATCACGACTCCCGCGCAGGGAAAGGCAGACTGTCATCCCACACCATCGGAAAGTCAGGGGAGAATCCATGTAACTAGTGGAATCGCGGTGACTCCCAAAATAGCTCGACAGACAATGACAAGAATCACGACCTTTACTACATGCCTCTTCGGCTTGTCACCACCTCCAAAACTCTTTATTCAAGAAATATAAAGAAGGAGAAATAGAAGTTGACGAAGATCGATCACAGGATAAGACCACATATGACCGCTGAGCTACAAACAAGGATGATTGCCGAGCCGCAAATATCAATGATCGCCGAGATTGCAGTAACTACAACCGCTGGACTAGTTTGGGAGGGCGTCACTGAAGTTCTTCACCTGTTAACAGGCGGAAAGACAAAGATGAGCAGAAACGTCCAGAGAAAAACGATGAGGAGAGTGATCAAGATAACCCACTCCCGCCATCTAAGAGAAGAATCAACATGATCATGGAAAACTTACCTGGCTGCGATGACTCTGTAAGAGAGATCAAATATTATGGAAGAAAGGCTATCGCCTCCAATAAATTTCCATGCAACATCGGATACAAGCCCGCAATCACTTTCACAACAAAAGATACGTGAGGCCTTCACCCCACCCCCTCACCAACCTGTTGGTAGTCGAACTCCACATCCATGGAAGCGAGGTGGCCAAGATCATGATTGATACCAAAAGCACGTTTAATATTATCTTTAAAGACATCTAAACAAAAATAGAAATCCAGGGTACAAATATCAAAGCGACGCTAAAACCCCTTACCGGAGTTGCCAGAGAATCCTCCTTCAGCATCAGAACTATACGGTTGACTGTTTACATCGGCGGCATAATCAAGATCGTTAGATTCATCGTTATGGACAATCCAGATATATGCAACGCTATCCTCGGCATGCCTTTTAGTCACGAGATGAAGGCTATTGTGTCAACCTACCACCAATGCATAAAGTCTACGACTTCTTCAAGCATCTTCGCACTTTGCGACAATCAACAAATGGCAGGCTCATACTTCATCAGTGAACAAAAGATACGTCTCACCTCGATGACCACCCAAAACAACGCCAAAAAGTCACATCAAGATCTTTCTTCCAGTTTGGCATCATCTAAACGCCATTGAGGCAAAAAAAAATAGTTAAATAATAATTGTAAAAAACTACGAATGGCTTGATCTCACTTGGGTACGTAAGCAGCCTTTTATCCAGTCTATCAATAACATTAATGAAATTTTATTTTATCTTTGATTGTCTATGGAAATCCAGCTCAATACGCCCAAAAGCACCATGTACACTTCTTCTCCAAATACCAAACCAAACTATATGAATGTATAGCTTCAACTTGCTGGCCCAACATCGATATAAACACTAATAAATTATGTGGTTGATCATCACCATTTAAGATTTTGGTTCAATATAATTACTTCCAAAATTTTAAGGAAGTCGAGGTTGATACTCGTACAACTCGGGGTCATACAAAACATCTATCGACCGAAGTAAAAGCTCGATACGATTTGTATTCGACCTCGCAGTTGTAACTACTGTAAATCAAGAAAAAAATCCTTGTTTCCACCCCGAACAGAAATATGAAAATCCAAAATATACGAACGTATAGGTTCAACGTTATGGTCCAACGTTAACATAAATACTAATAAATTATGTGACTGATCACCACCACTTAAGATTTTGGTTCAATATAGTTACTTTAAAAGTCGAGGTTAATACTCGCACAGCCCGGGGTCATACAAAACATCTATCGGCCAAAGTAAAAGCTCGATACTATTTGTATTCGACCATGCAGTTGTAAGTGCTATAAGTCAAGAAAAAAAAGTCCTTGCTTCCACTCCGAATGTAAATATGTCCCTATAGAAAAGAAGACTACCTCGTGAAACCAACAAGCTTTTTTAAACCAAGTATCTTTCATGAAAATAGAGTCTTTATCACTGGATAAGATCAACACATTGATCGTTCGTATGCAAAAGCAAACACAACTCGAGACAACTAAAACTCTTCAAAGATCATTACATTATTCTTAGTGAATGAAAACTCTTCCACACAATGTTAATACAAAAAGCCAGAGCAGCAAAAATAGAATAGAAATAGACCTAGCAGTTAGGCGTATCGAACCAAACTGGTAAACATTCATGGGTACAACCTACTTAACGTTTAAAGAAAAATCTTTAAGACAAAATAAAAGGTCTAACCTGTTTGTCAAGTGGAGATCATCCTCTGTGATAACCACTTTGTCAATGGCATTACCCTTCATCTTACACTATGTGAGCTTTTCTTTGAAGGCAGAAATCATCTTGGAAGAATTCTCCCACCTGTGGGCTTGCATCTATTTTAAGTAGGCTATCATGGCCATCTTCTTCGCCATACCAACCACGGCTTCTTCAACCTCTTCTTTCTGAACTAATAAATCTTTCATTAACTTCATGCGCGGCCCAAACCAGCCAAGGCATTTTTAAACACCTTGTCAGCCACATATCAGGCTGCCTTGTCGCAAGACTTGTGAAGTCTCTCTCTTTCTGCAGATGATTTTTACGCCACCTTTCCTTTTGAGAAGGTTAATCCGCGCTTTGAGAGCAACCACCTCATCTCAGAGTCAAAATGACTCGGCCGCCTCAATCTTAAGATCGTGAAGTTCAGTCTCAAGGCTGAGAGACTTCGCTTGAAATCTTTGACTCTGTTTTCCACCTCTCGACGCCTTTCGATCTGGGCAGCAATGCTTTCAACATTCATTTCTTCAAGACGAAGACTCCGGTCATACGATTCCATGATCAACAAATAAATTCTCATTCCTTGATAATGACGACTTGTTTAAATTTGCAAATAAAAACACGAAGATATCGCAACTATAGAAAGGGGATAAAAACATGTACGAAATGTTAAGCCGCTTTGCAGATGCTCTCCGCATGCTGCAACTCCTTTAGAGGGGTACCCCATCTCGGGTTAGGCATGCATTGCCAGGCAAGATTAGCGGCAAAGTCCTGATCATACATCGCTAGGGCATTGCCATCCTACCAATGTGCAAATTGGTTACGATTATAACCACAATCCTCTTATGCCTCTATCTTAAGCTCCGTTAATCCTTTTAAAAGGATATCCCTTGGCTCTTTCTCGAGGTGAGTGCTGGTTTTCACGAATCCCGCTTCCTGATCATGTACATTGCCACTTCGGGATCTCGGAACTTTCTTGAGAAGCACTGAATTCAGACGATGATGGCTCATGAGAAGGCAGACCTGTAGCATCTATATCCGAGAAAATTAAAATGATTAAGGTGGACAGGACGTTGTCCGAGGGATGATCGAGCCAAGGTTCAGATATTGGCTTGGAAAAAGAGGTTAAGACTATAGTCGGGTATATGACTGGGAAATAGTCAATGGATTGCAGGGATAGCCGAACCGGATGGACCATATCCGAGAGAAATATGGTCCAGTCCGTGAGA